AGAACCTGTTCCAAGATAACCAGAGTAAGTCATGGATCTGATCGAACTTCCATTGCCGTAGGCAAGCAAAACTATGAAGTTTGACACCCATATTGATATGGTTCTGGTCATGGCCCCAATTGACCACATCTCCCGGGGCACCCAGAACCTGCTTCAAGATAACCAGAGTAAGTCATGGATCTGATCGAACTTCCATTGCCATAGGCAAGCAAAACCATGAAGTTTGACACCCATATTGATATGGTACCGGTCATGGCCCCAATTGACCACATCCCCGGGGCACCCAGAACCTGCTCCAAGATAACCAGAGCAAGTCATGGATGTGATCGAACTTCCATTGCCATAGCCAAGCTAAATCATGAAGTTTGACACCCATATTGATATGGTTCTGGTCATGGCCCCAATTTACCAGAACCTGCTCTAAGATAACCAGAGCAAGTCATGGATGTGATCGAACTTCCATTGCCATAGGCAAGCAAAACCATGAAGTTTGACACACATATTGATATGATTCCGGTCATGGCCCCAATTGACCACATCCCCCGAGGCATCCAGAACCTGCTCCAAGATAACCAGAGTAAGTCATGGATCTGATCGAACTTCCATTGCCATAGGCAAGCAAAACCATGAAGTTTGACACCCATATTGATATGGTTCTGGTCAAGGCCCCAATTGACCGCATCCCCCGGGGCAACCAGAACCTGCTCCAAGATAACCAGAGTAAGTTATGGATCTGATCGAACTTCCATTCCCATAAGCAAGCAAAACCATGAAGTTTGACACCCGTATTGGTATGGTTCTGGTCATGGCCCCAATTGACCGCATCCCCCGGGGCGCCTGGAACATCTAGTTTATTCAAACTTTGATAAATTTCCTGGTGAATGACATTAGAATCATACAATTTGAACCATTTTCCGGAAAGTTATGGTCATTTGAATTTTGACAAAAATTATGCCTGTCTCAATAATTTTGTCGTAGAACAAGAACTTTTGGTAAATTTGTTGAAGTTGTTGTTGGTCTAGCTTTTATGTTATTATGCACAGGAAATGTTTAAAAATGGTGCTAATATTGTTTCCTATCTATAAGTTACATAAAAAAACGAAATTTTTGCTCAAATGTGAATGATGGCCCATTACAAACAATTTTGCAAATCGGAGAAGATCGAGTTTTTTTCCGATTCGTCATTTGGCGGGGAATTACTCATTACACTAGTTTACAAATAAAAATAAAAAAATTAACTACAATGTTTGACCTTTGACTCTTATGTAAAATCGTGCGATGAATCCTAAACTTTAGTCATAAAAGTCTCAGTATGATAGTTTTCGAGATACTGTTAAAAATGAAATTCCACTTGAAAAAAGTTTTTTAAACTAAAATACAAATGTCTCCGACTGGGAAATACCTAGCAGCGTACAAAGTTCACATATGCTGTGAACTAGTGTTAACTAACATAAACTCTGGAGCGACCTTGAATTTCTTAAATTAATTACCTATTCCCGGCTGATAATTGAGCTTAATCTTCTTGTTGTGTAAATTTGCGCTTCTCAGAATTGAGCAATATAAAAAGTGATCATCCCTAATATCTGTTGACCGATAATCTAATAATGCATACTAATATGATAATCGTGAAGATATTGTAGTGAAGAGGTGCCGGTTGGAATCAATTGTTTTCCAATAACCAGTTACCGAATTTGTAAGTAATATTATATATAATGTTTATATAAGCTAATAAATATATTATAATAGCTTTGTAGCTGACTCAAAGACATCAAAACTATGTCTTATCTGCTGAAAGCGTCGGTCCGATGGCTTTGGCCAGCACCTCTCCGCAATAGGAAGAAGAAAAAAAAACAACACAATCCAATTGGCTGCCCACGCGATTATAACCGTTCTTAAAGTTAGTGATTAAATCTATCCTTAATTCTATCCTTAATTCTATACCTAAATCTTAACTATCTACTATTGAATTCAGGTAATTTAAATTGAATAATTATTTACAAAAGAACTAAATGATATATCTTAAATAGTGCTAAAATCTACTATCTACCATTTCTACGAGCTACACCTAACCTATATTCCTAAAACTAAAGCGAACTCGGTAAGAACAAGTGAATTATGTCAAGCTTCGAAATCCTAAAAGAACTTATTACAGCATATTCCATCTCTACCTCCTATGACCCATCCGGAACTACACTAGGGGAATTAAACGTAAGTCACACAGAACTTATTATAAACCACTACTACATGCACACTCGTATTTACGCTACCAATTATGTTATACACTATGCTAACAATCTTGTGCTTCTATATATACATCCAACCAAACAGGATTTTAAAAATCTCCCAATAAAGAGCCGTGTAACACATATTGCTCTGGAGGTTATTAAACCGGAAGAATCTCCCCTGCAGTCAGTCGGAACTAATTTCGACACTTCTTTTCACTTCATTCTCTTTATTCGTTTTGAAGATATGTCTTAATTTTGAAAACATTTAAAGTGTTTCTGATCTTCAGAATAATACTGAATAAACTTTTCATTTTTTAAGACCTTGAAAAACATTCAACACTTTATTAAAATCTTATTGATCATCCATGGATAAAGTTCTAAGTTCTATAAAACTTAAACGAAGGTTCCTGGACTTCTACAAAGTTTCTTCAATTTGATTCCATGCACAGTTCGAAAAAGTAGTGTAAATTTCTGTTCAATGTGATGCACATAAATGGAGTGTCATATGTCATATAAATTTACATTATAGATCGTGTAAAGTTCAAAGACATTTCATGCAATGTTGCGCATATTGTATACAAAAGTCCATATTTGTAAACAACATTGCATACAAGTTTCTCGTTTGCGTTTAATGACACACAAGTTTACATGTATAAATGTTTACATCACAATTAAAATTCAGATTTTTTTTTGCTGTGTGGCCTCAAATGAAGCATCTTGAACTTCTTCCCAATCCATTTAACTTATCCCTGAGCCGCGATGGAGTTCCCTAAATTTGTGTAAAGTTCAGTAAAATGCTGGAAAGTTGCGTCCACTTCTACGAAGATTTCTGAACTTATCAGATTTGTTTATAGCTTGTCTTCTTCTTCCTCGCATTTCAAGCTTATTGTTTATCGCATTTAGCTTATTACGTTCTCTCAACATAGTGTTCTAGATGCAACTTTCATAGTTATTAATTGAGAGCTTTCGATGCCTGTACCATTTTTGCATTAGTATAATTGTGTGACAGAGAATTCCTAGACCAGAAAAATTCCTAGACCGGACCGGAAACCAAACCCTGCCACCTCCAGCATGGTCTTGGTTTGTAGCTGCGCCTTTATCAACTGAGCTAAGGAAGACCCTTAATTCAAATTTCCCCTGATACAATATTTTAAAATCAATTGGTAAAGAAATAGGGGAACTGACGGCTTCGGCATGACAGACTATTTTCGGAAACCCAAATTGAAACACTATTTTCACTGGATTTTCTTACGAAAACACTTCGCTGAATGCATGCAAACGATTCTTTATGCTTTCAGCTTCCATTTGACTATATTTTTACTACTGAGAAAAAGAAATCTAGCAGGGTTTTCTTGAAATGAAACACACGCAATACAAATTGTAGCTGATTTCGAGTTGCCGATAATAGAACAGCAGATTTACATGCAGTTCAAATGGAACGGTTGCCGAAGAAAAACGGGTTGCCGACAATACTTGCTCTCACTAGAGAAGATTGGAGCTTTGTAAAAGCATTTCAAAACAGTTTTTGACAATTCTTTCGATTGAAATTGTTAGAGCAGCTGGCAGCAAAAGATTGTAAACAAACCAGTACTGCATATGTGTGCGTTCCATGTAGAAAAAGGCTATAGAAAGAAGGTCGCTGCTTAGGTTGCCGAGAATACGTAAATTCCCCTACCTGAGGTACATTAAAGTTGAATAATCCGCCACTTCGGACACGGCGTGCTTCTTGACTAAATCTGTTAAGCCTGAGATCAACTTTCAATCCATATGGTATCTAAAAAATGTATGTGATTTTCTCTAAAACCTCCCGAAAATCCACTTTAATTATTTTAAGCTTGAAAGGTAAATAAGTTTAGTATTGCCAATTTATCCATATGGACCAGTGTGCAATCAACAGGCAAAAGTAGCTGCTATCGATGTCTATGAATGAATGCGATAACCTTGCTACGAATTCCCACTATCGCCTCACACAACAGAAAGCCGACTTTCCGATGCAAAGCCTCGCATTATAATGTTGGCAGTGCAAACAGCTTAGTTGGTCCATAATTAATCGCAATAAGAGACCCGTATTTCACATTTTACCGTTTCCGTATGGGTTCGGTTCGTTTGCAGCCCCACCGAACGACATCAGGCTGCAAATGCAATTTAACCGGAACAGTGGATGCAACACGACGCAGGCTCGACGCTGCTCAGATTTCCCCGCTTTTGCGGATGTGATTTATTTATCGTTTCCGCGATATATATTAATACATGAATGCTGCTCTCCCTGCTTCGGAAGCCCTCTCTATGAAGTGGTCGGTTTTTGCGGGAATGGGGTTGGGCATCAGCGCCACTCTGCAGCACAACAGGCCCGGCACCCAATGATTTATGGGTGAAAGCTTCATGAATATGAATTTTGCGGGCTGTCAATGTGTGCACACATATGAACGGACGGAATGCGCACAATTCGGTAGACATGATTTTGGGAAACTCGTCGTTGTCAGTTTGGTAATAGATGCGTACCACCAGACCAACTAATATAGACAAATTGTGCACGCATTAGCCGATATGTGTCGTCGCTAAACATTTGTTCTGTTCGTTTGATGGTTACCGACGACAAATGGTGAAGTTCTATAGAGATTTGAATTTCATGGAATCAAAATGTACATTCAATAATCTCCACGAAGGAAATTCTTCATCTCCTCATAGTTTCGGAGAATTGATCACTTACATCGTTGGAATGTTGTTTATGTTTGTAGGGATTGTTTGGATTCAATTCTGGTTGGCGATACTTACCCATCACGCAGAGCAGACCCGTGCCATAGACGCGAAAGTTGTTGTACATCGCTGATGCGTCTTTTGTGAAATCTCCAAATATCGACAACCATGGGGCCATGTATGTCTGAAAGAAGAGTAGAAAGAGTAAAGGAATCAATACCAAGAAATGCTACCAATTTTGTAATTTTAATTTTAAAACCACAAGAGTATTGGCAAAACCTCGAGCTTCCCCAACAGAGTCCCGCTTGGCATTTTCTCAGTGCCAACGAACCACAACCGCATCAATAGGAAAATTCCTTCCAACCACCGAGAAGGTCACCACCACCAGCCAACGTTATTGAGCGATGCAGCAGAGCGTAAAGATGACACGGGAAGCTTTGTACAAAATCGCACTGCCCGCAAGTTATTTGCTCATAAAAGAAAAGAAAAAATCATGAAGTTACATTTTCCTTAAACTATGTCGTGTGTCTCTTTTGGGGACGATATTGAGGAGAATTTTACCAGCAGAACCGCAGCTAGTCAAACCACAAAGGATCTAAACTTTTCCCCCAGCAATGCGCCGGGTGTGTGTGTGTGTGTGTGCGGCTGCAAGTTAACCCACTCAGGAGCTCTATTTTTGGAACATCTTCATGGAGCAGGACCTAAGCAGGGTTGGTTAAAGTGGTGGAACGTCTTTGTTCCCACTCCTGTCGAAGGAGCCGAGGAATCGTGCACGATAGCATTTTTATTGCCTAATAAAAATTCCATCCGTGCTCCCATTAGCTGTGTCCTGGCGAGTACCTTTTGCGCTGTGAATTTTGACTATCTTGACTAGGAATGGACTAGGAGGGATCAAGTTACCTGGGAGGCGACGTGGAATATACTTTGAGCATTAGTAGGCTCGGATGGGAACTATATTCATGCTGGACGCGTATCCTGCCTGGATCGGTTGTTTATGCAGAGTTTTTCGCCGTTGTTGATCGGGGAGCCCTTGTGTTTTTCTAAATATTTTTCTTCGCTTTTCGTGACCTTCCTCACGGCATGGCACCGGCACCGGACACCGGGCACTATGGGTGGTGCTGAAACGGGGCTAGGTCGTTATGGTTCTCAAAATTGGTCGTTAAAAATGGTTCACGGTGGGTGAAGGGGAATGAGTAAGTCGGACAGGGCATTTGTTTTGGGTCAGCGGATCATAAATAAATTTGCGATCAACCCGGGCTGACACGTTTACTAATCGTACCGACAACCATAGGCACATTACCCGAGCAAAGTAAAATAAGAACCTGATATCATCTTGAAAACAAGTTTTGTTATTACTGATATCATTTTGTTTTTAGTTGTTATCGCATTAATTATGTAGTTATCAAACTTGAATATATTTTTTTTTACATAAAAAAAGTACTATATGTTTACGAAATTTCAGTTATCAGCGTAAGGCGTATCATAACATAATTTTAAATTGCTTGAAAAAAAATTGCACAGGGTTTGTTATCAATATGTTTTCAATTATAACAAAATTAGCTATTTTTGTGATATCCAACGAGCATTTTTACTATAATTTGTTTATTCAACCACAATGATAACATATTCAGTTATCAAACCTTGACAACCGGTATCATAACTTGTTATCATTTTTTTTTATAAATTTTTGCTAAGGTTGGCCTCCCCGAGCAAAGTAAAATAACAACCTGATATCATCTTGAAAACAAGTCTTGATGTTCCATTATCCAGGTATTGTTTTCAGTTGTTATCGTATAACTAATTTAGTTATCAACCTCGACTAATTTTGTTATCATATGATAACAACCATGAAAGATAATGAAATGATGCAAGGTTCGTTCAAAACTTCAGAAAAACACTGCCAGTCAGTTTTCAGCGTAAGGCTTTAAGGTGATACGGCACGTCATGCAACAATGGCTGTCCCTAAAATCATTAAATAAACGTATTATGGTATGCGTACGAAAGACATCTTCCTACAAAACAGTAAATTACTAATTACATACCTTAAAAAATGGGCCTGAATTGTATTAATAAGATCTGGATACATATTTAAATACTTTGCCACCCAAATATTGCCAATTCATTCACTCATTGGTAATATTTACATTAAAAAGTACGATCAGCGGATTTTGCTCTGCTCAGGGCATGAAATTTCAACAACTGTTTTCACTAGCTTTCATTTCTCAGAACCACACTAAAAACAATTACGACACGTGCTTCTACAAGTACTTTCAACTTAAATCACTTTTAAAGACGATATTTACTTAAATAATATCATTTGCATCGTTAAAAACGCGAGCCGCGAATAATTTTGCAAGTTGAAACTGTTTTGATTACCTTTTTTCTACACACCGCATTACGGAGGTGTGTGTAAGAATCATCTATCATCGTATCCAGTGTTGTCGATTTAATTGAAACAAAGTGTGTAAAAACAATGTTTTTATTGCTTTTTAAGGTACTTAAACTGTGTGCAATTTAGAAACCATCACTAAAAAATGTTTAAAACAATTTCTTATTTTGTTTCTCAAGGCAAAAAAATTATAGTCAATGATCCTAGAAATCTTCTATAGAAAACATATGTGTTGTTCTGGTAGCACTGCTCGAAGCCATCAGCTGATATGCAAAAGGCGGCAACGGATGATTCAAAAACAAAAACATACACTATAAGAAAAAATATCCAGCGGCCAGTTCATTTTTACCTACTTTTGACTTTCAGTGGGTAGAAACGAATTGTCAGTTCCATACTAATTGAAAACAATCAAATGAAAACTCTTCGACCCACATTACCTACTTTTGGCCTCGCTTTTGGCTTCCTGCAATATAGTGCCGAGATTTGTGAAATTGAGTCATTTTGGGATCTTTTTTCTTACCGTGTACCTGGAGTTTTGAGCTCTGGAATCACTTTTGGACAGGTCGTATGTAACCAAAGTGTGATGTTGAATCAATTAACTTCTATGATGACTTGACATGTTGGTCTTGGTGGCTAGGCGCAAAATTGTTTTCTGTATAGGAAGGGGTGTCCTGGGAGGTGGTAGGTCGATAATATTGGCAAATTGAATGGAAATGTAGTGATAGTTTCTGTTACACATTCGACCTAATAATAACGAACTCTAGCAGCTATGTTTACGGTAGTTGCGGTAGTGCATGATGTACACTCACACTACTACAGCATCAATGATAATCAATTCACTGACACATAGAAAGGAGAGAAAAAAAAGCAAAAAAAAGCGTGACGTATCGTATCACCTTAATAGCAAATCGACAAAATAATTGGAAATTTGTTGAACAAATTAGCATGGATCACAGAATTTGTTATAAAGATGTTTTCAATGATAACTAAATTAGTTATTTTTGTAATATTCAAAGAGTATTATTTTGCTATAATTGTTTATATCTTGGCTGTTTATTCAACTACAATGATAACATGTTCAGCTATCAAACCTTGACAATTGGGTATCAGAACTTGTTATCAATTTGGTATAATTCTTTGCTCGAGTTAATTTTCATTTTTTTTTGCCTCAAGTATTCATAATAAAAACATAACTGAGCCTGTATGTAAAAGCAACTATCCCAATGTAAAATTGCAATCCAATCATTTTAATTTAATTTTTAAATGTTTTTTTTTTTTATAAAAGGATAAATATTGATCCAGATTTGGAATTGATGCTTATCGTCAATATCATAGTTAAGACTCTAATGTCAATCAATCAAGCGTTCAGTTCCACGCAAACTCGCAAATCGTTTCGGATCGATGTTTTTTTGAATTACTTTTAATTTTTGTTTGTTACAGTCCAATATGTCATTTAACACATTTCCCTAGTTGTGTACACGACTAACTTCTTAAAAGGGCTTATACAAAAATGACACGCATAAATACAAAAATAATATATAGGGAAAATGGCTCTAATGTTGGCCTACGGATCTAAGATTGGGCCCATCACTAAAAATCTGCTATTTATCAATTTTATCTCGATGAACGCGTCATTGGGACGATACTAATGGATATTTTTGGTCACTATTGAAAATTTAGTCGATTGCTGAATTTATGTATGGGCCCAAATTAGGGGCATTTAGGTTGACATTACATCCCATTTCTGACAATGTGTTTAAGGTAGACAGTTCATACACAGAAAAATCATAATTTTTTGAAAAATGTAGCATTTTTGAAAATACTGTCGACATTTATCAATTATCCTTGAAGCAGTGTAAATACATTAATTTTACAACAAATACGTTCATAATTCTAGAATTGTCCGTTGTTGTTGTTTTCGAGATATTCGTATCTTAAAATTTACCAATCGTGTAATTTGGGAAATTTACGCCCTTTTGGAATATTTTTCCAATCTTGAAAATATTATTATCAAAAAGCGCAGGTTATTTCCTTGAACCTTGCAGTTTACAGTAAAAATGGCAAAACACGCATCTCATCAAATAATTGACGCTAACAAAACCTTTAGTACTTTGTAGTACAAAGTCTAAGCTTTAAAAAGAGTAGTTGATATTGTGTTCCGATTTGCCACTTTCTCTGCTATAAGCTTTCAAAAATAGGGTAAAATAACGTTATAAAGTTCTATAACATTGCAAGGATTGTACATAGCCACATACTGTCCTGAGCAAAGACATGTCGTTTCACTTTGTATAAATTTGTCTTGAACATTATTAGCTTGAAAAATTATTATATAAAAAGTCCATAAATAAAAATTTAATTTAAAGGGGAATCAAACTATTGCACAAAGACAATTTGTATTTTCAAAAAAGTGTCATATTTTGAAAAGCTAGGCAACTTTGCTTAAGAAAATATCTTCTATATCTCTAGGGAATCAAAATAGGTCTAATTTTTTTAATTCTGATACTTTTGTGAACAATTCCTCAGAAGATACTTTTTTGATTAAGTCAATAGTTTATATACATTTCAATTAGGTTCATGATTTTGCTATCTCCGACCACTGTGCATTGGTGTTATCGAGAATTTTATAAATCATGACAAACAAATACAGGTACATCATATAAATTTTGTTGGGTGGGTAGTATTGAAATTATGTTGCTTAATAGGAAAGGTCATGTCAATACTTAAATCCATGATTATCAATTCTTCAATGAATTGACCAAAAACAATTACTTCAATGGTTGACCTAAGTTTGTTTA